GCTTTTTTTAAAAAAAAACATATTTTATTGATATTTTGCAGAGAGGAAGGAAGAGAAATAGAGAATTAGAAACATCGATGAGAGAGAAACAGATCAGCTGCCTCCTGCACATCTCCTACTGGGGATGTGCCCACAACCAAGGTACATGCCCTTGACTGGAATCGAACCTAGGACCCTTCAGTTCACAGGCTGATGCTCTGTTCACTGAGCCAAATTAGCCTTGACACTTTGAATATTTCTTGCCATTCCCATCTGGCCTGCATAGTTTCTGTTGAGAAACTGATAATCGAATGGGTGCTCCCTTGTAGGTAACTAACTGTTTTTCCCTTGCTGCTTGTAAGATTCTTTCTTTGTCTTTTGCTCTCGGCATTTTAATTATGATGTGTCTTGGTGTGGTCCTCTTTGGATTTCTTTTGTTTGGGGTTCTTTGCGCTTCTTGAACTTGTAAGTCTAATTCTTTCACCAGGTGGGGGAAATTTTCAGTCATTATTTCTTAAAATATGTTTTCTGTGTCTTGCTCTCTCTCTTCTTCTGGCACCCCCATAATTCTGATGTTGGTCACTTGAAGTTGTCCCAGAAGCTTCTTACACTATCTTCAACTTTCTGTATTCTCTTATCTTTTTGCTTATCCGGAGGAGTGTTCTTTGCCTCTTTGTATTACAAATCTTTGACTTGATACTTGCATTTCTCTAGTCTGCTGTTGGGTCTCTGTATAATATTTTTTATTTCAGTCAGTGTATGTTTAATTTCTAGTTGGTCTTTTTTCATATCCTTCAGGATCTCACTAAATTTATTGGCCTTTTCTAAAAAATTCTTGAAAAACCTTATAACTGTGGTTTTGAACTCTATGTCCAGTTGTTTGTTCTCCTCCATTTCTTTCATTTGTGATATGTTTCCTTGTCTCCTCATTTCTGCTGCTTCCCTGAGTTGGTAGGATAGGTTTGTGTGCTGGTTGTTCTATATGGTTCAATGGTTCAGCCTCCCAGTTACTTGATGTGGACACTCTTGGTGCACCCCTTTGTGGAATGTGTGTTCAGCCTTGTTGTAGTTAAGTCTTGATTGTTGTTGGTGTCATTGAGAGGAATTGGCCTCCAGAGTCTATAATGGAAGAATTGCTGTACTGGAGACACATTTATGGGGTAGGACTTGCTCCATTAGGGCTCTGGTGCTCTCTGTGTCTGCCTCTTAAATGTGTCCCTTATGAGAGTAGTTGAAATCTGGTGTCATCTCACACCGACCACTAGATACACTAGTTTCTGGCTCTCCAATGGGGTGCATATCAACTATTGTCTGAGACCACCCAGAAGGAGCTATATTAAGAACAGTTTTCTCCTCTTTGCTTGGGATTCGGCGGTTTTGGAGCAGTGTGACTGGAACTACAGTTAAGTTGCCACAGAGCAGGACATTTATATTCAAAAGCCCCTGTGTGGAGCCTGGGCGGGTGTGCAGGGCGGGGTCTCAGGGTGGGACAGGGTCTCAGGGCATCACTAGGCTGGGGTGTGGCAAACAGCAATGGCTGCCGTCAGCCCATCTCTGCCTTTCCATGCTTCCAAGTCTCCGAATCCCTGCGCTCCAGCACAGTAAACAATGATTGCTGCACACACCTCTGCAAAAAAAGTCACCCTCACTTTCTGACCCAATGGCTGACAGACCAGCTTTTCCCGGTAGGCATCTGGGTCCCTTAAACTGGATTTCAGAGTGATCAGGAGCTTGTTTCCCTTCAGGTTGAAAAAAAGCCACACGCCCAGTTGCCCGCCACCAGCCTGATTTGCGTGCCTCCTTTTAGTGTTTGTGCTCTTTTCTCTTCTAGTTGTAAGACTTCCATTCAGCCAGCTTTCCCGTGGTTCTGGGTGATAGACGTTTTGTCTTTTAGTTGTGGTTTTGAAATTGTTGTGCCAGGCAGCAGTTTAGTTGTTTACCTATGCCGCCATCTTGGTTTCTCTCCGCAACAGCTATTTTGTGTAAGATGTAAGAAAGCAGTTCCATTTTTTCATGACCAGTTTGATAGTATAGTGCATATGACTGGCTATCAGTCCAGATATAGAGATTATGTGTTTTTGTCTGCCAAGAGCTTCTCCTCCAGTTGAAAAAGGCTTTTCCCCCCCATTTAAGCAATCCTTATCCTATATAATCTATCTATACTAATAAAGGGATAATATGCATATTAGACCAGGTCGACCAGCCATCTTCCAGATGTCTGACTTCCTTCCAGACAAAGCCATGGTGGTGGGAGCTGAGGCAGGGCAATTAGGGGTGATCAGGCTGGCAGGGGAGGGCAGTTGGGGGCGACGAGGCAGGAAGAGGGTGCAAGCTGTTGGACATCCCTCCAAGGAGTCCCTGATTGGAGAGGGTGCAAGCTGGCTGAGGGAGGCCCCCCCCGCCCCCCCTCCCGGCACAAATGTCGTGCACCGGGCCCCTCATTTCATAATAAAATGTCAGAAAACCAAAGAGAAAAATGGAAGTCTAAAAGATTTTGAAGGAAGAATCATTGGGATTTAAGAGAAGCAATGTTTATAGTAAAAAGAACATGGGCATTGGAGTTAAGCAGTCCTGAGGTCTGGTTCTGGCTTAGCTATTCTCTAGAGAGTTAAGTATATTGCTTAGTGGCGGCACTGGTATTTGAACCCATGCACCCTGGCTCTAGTGCTTTGGTCTCTCTCTATTTGCAGTGCTGTAAGCTCCTTGTCAGTGTCTAGCACGTGATAGAGTCTCAAATGATAGCTGTTGCCATTCATTAGTGTACTGTCTGTGGGCTGCAGAGGATGAAGTGAAGTCTAAGATTTTAATGTTTGATCTGGAAGATTTATATGCAAACTGGAAAGTAAAACTATTTGTGAAGAAATAGTTTAGTGTTAGATAAGTGGGAGTAGAGATTTTTATACGAACAGTCTCACGTATTTCCTTAAAGTTCAGTAAATCTTTTGCTCATCATAGTGTTGTTTGTGCCGAGTACTACTCTAGACCAGTGAACAAAACCGACAAAAATCTCTTTCCTTATAGAGTCTTACATGCAACAGGGTCTGAAGAATTAAGGAATTTTATATCTCCAATGGGGAATGCGTGCAGAAGTGGAACTGCAGGCATGCACCAGCAGGGAAGGTGTTGTTTTCCCAGCAGTCTTCAGATGCCCCTGACACCACGCCGCGAAGGCAGTCATTTCCTCTGCTTTCTCGCAAGCCCATCTGTGTCCTGATTTCCTCTGTAGTCCTTTTGCCTTCCATCTGGAATGGGTGGAACAACTTATACAAGCTGTTTGTGATTGTTTTAGAACTATACGTTCAGGCTTCTAAAATGGGCCGCATAGGAACAATCACGGTTGCTTTTCACAGTGTCTTCTATGAGCAGAGACGACTGAGAGGAAACTCATGGAACTCCACATAAAACAGAGGACACTGAGGTCTCCTTTCCTGTCTCATGCACGAATCCTGTAACGTAGCCAGGCTCTGACTTCAGCGGCCTTTCAGGGTGTGTATCCCTTGGAGATTGCGCACTCATTCCAATAGGGTAGGAGGTCAGTCAGTAAAAGTATTTACTGAGCCAGACCCTCCTCCTCTGCATCTGAGTCATTTTCGGTTAGAGCAAAGATGTTCTCAGGGAGAAGCTTTAACTCTTTCAGATGACAAAGGTCACTCAGTGTGATGGGTGGCTCTCTAAGTCATCCTCGGGGCTTATACTTATTCTTTTCTTGGTATTTTAGATAATGAGGTATGCACTTAGTCAAATAGTGTGGTGGAATTTGTAGTGAGAAAATGCAGTAGAAGGAAAACAATATCCACCTTGTCCCAATCTGGGGAAGTTGTTTTAATAATGTATAGATGGCTAAAAGGCTTGCAAAATACTATGTTCGTTTTAGAAAAAAAAACACACACACACATATTTATGACACACCCTTCTGTGGAAATCTGACATCTGGCAGCTTTAGCTCCTTGGGAGACGGCCAGAAACTAAGAACAGGGCCTCCGAGCACATAAAAAAATATCTGTTGAAAAACTCTAGCAGTAACACATGTATTTTACCACCACAGGAGAGTGTGTTAGCCTCTCATTTGGAGCTTGTTTACTTTTTATTTATCTGGGAACTTTGAACAATGTTGGCGGTGTATGTGTGGTCCCCCTTCCCCAGGAGATTATAAACAACCGTCTAGGAAGAGGTTGGGAAAGTTGACAGAGGAGATAAACCGATAGCAGAGGGAAGGCTGCCATCAAAAGAGAAAGACTTAGAAGCTCTACAGTACTGGTATGATGTGTTACAACACAGTATAGCAATGTATGGTCTTCATAACGCACTTTATCCATCAGCCAAAGAATTAAGTCATGTGCAGTGTCTTTTGAAGAAGGCAGAGAGATACATAGTGTGTTCTTTTAAACATGGTCCAAGTTTTGACATGCTGAAATGGTAAATTCTGTAGTGTTTATAAACTTGAAACAGCACACTGTCTAGAGATGCCATATCAGTGACACAGATTTGAGCTTGTAGCTGATTATGGAAATGATGTGTAGTAACAATTGCTAACATTTACACAACACCTACTGTACCAGCCCTGTCCTGGGCTTTGGAGACAGGCAGATCTGGGTTCCCAATTCCACCTCTGACTTATTGTGTGACTTTGGACCAATGACATCACCTTTTTGAGCCTGTGTCCTCACATGAGCAATTGGGAACCAATAATATATGACACCATATCCATGCAAGGGTACTACGCAAGTTTGGGGCACAGGTGTCTTTCAATGGAAAACACATTCTTGAGCTGGTGTAGTGTACAAAGTTTTTACATAGCCTGTCTTTGTTCTTTTTAATGAGTTTTTACTTTTTCGTATGTTTGAAATAAATTAGACTACTTTGATAAATTTAACTATAAACTTTTTATTTGCTTAGCTTTGACTTTATTATAAGTATCATATCTTAAGCTATGTCATTCTCAAGATATCTATCTATATTACAGTGTCTTAAATATTAATGCTTCCTTATTTCTTTTGACCTTTCTGTCCAGGTTATAAAACATGGAGGCTGGGTCAGTGGTTCGAGCCATCTTTGACTTCTGCCCTAGTGTATCAGAAGAACTGCCCCTCTTTGTGGGGGATGTGATTGAGGTGTTGGCAGTGGTGGATGAGTTTTGGCTTCTAGGAAAGAAAGAGGATGTTACAGGTAAGAGGCACCCACCTCCCGTTTTCCATGCATCTGGTTTCCTTTCTTTTGTTTTTTACAATATAAGTTACCACTCATTTCTTTCATTCATTAGCTTAAGGAAGGATGGCAGTTTGCCCCCCACACATGCCCGTATGTTAAATCCCATCCTAACTTACATACATTTATGCAAATCTGGGTTGGAGGATGTTACACAGTCCTTAGAACAGACCCTGTTGACACTTAGCCCACATTTGTTAGATAATCCGTTATCTCCCAGTAGAAATATCTCAACTAAGACAAAATGATGAGTAGAAGTTAGCAAGGCAAAGAGGATAGGAGGCAGAGAGAATGCTTGTTCAAAGGCCCTGGTATGAGAGAGAACACGGAGGGACTGAGAAAAGTTAGGTATGGCATGAAGTATGAATGGTGGAGGAGGGGGATAGTGGTTGGGAGATGAGCAGAAGTTAGATCATGGAGGACAGACTATGCCTTGGTAAGGAGTCACAGAAATGAGAAACCATTAATGTGCTTCAAGATATTTATCAGAATTTTAGAAATCTCTCAGCTGCCAATTGAAAGATGGTAGGAAGGGGCAAAACCAGAAGCAGGAAGGCAGGATGGGAGGTTGGTGCAGAAATCTGGGTGAGAGATGCTAAAGGCTTGGACCAGCATGGGGGATCTGGAGGTAAATGGACAGGTACCGGAGACATTTAGAAGGTGGAATCAATTAAACCTTCTGATGCTTTCCAATCAACAGGCTCTGTCTCTCGTCTACCTCTATCTATTAAAACCTACCCATCTTTAGACTCAAATGCTATCTTTTTCATAAAATTTTTCATATTCTTTCCTGACCCATCCTCTCCCTTCTCTGAAATCCCATAGTAATTTGTGTATCTGTATTGTGACACTGGGTTTTAGAATTGAATTTTTGTTTATGTCTGAACTAGATTCTGTCTGAATTAGATCTTTGATGGCCAAGACTGTCTTATTCCTTTCCCCCTCTGCAATGCACCTTGCATAAGTGACTCCCAATAGATATTCATTGGCTGGAATTGCATTTTTCTCATTGAGTTTTTAATTGGGCCTATTAATGAGCTCAGAAAAACAATTTGTGTCCTGGTACATAGGCATAAATATATTTTTTTTCAAAATGTTTGCTTTTATTTTCAGGACAGTTCCCCAGTAGTTTTGTGGAAATTGTGACCATTCCCAGCCTAAAAGAAGGAGAGAGGCTGTTTGTCTGTATCTGTGAATTTACATCCCAAGAATTGAACAGTCTTCCCCTTTATCGAGGTAAGTTGATCAAGAGGGAACCCTGGCTGGTTCGGCTCAGTGGATAGAGCATTGGCCTGCAGACTGAGGGGTCCTAGGTTCAATTCCAAGGGTACATGCCTGGGTTGTGGGCTCCATCCCCAGTGGGGAATGGATGTGCAGGTGGCAGCCAATCAATGGTTCTCTCTCATCATTGATGTTTCTGTCTCTTTCTCCCTCTCTCTTCCTCTCTGAAATCAGTAAATAAATATATTAAAAAAAAAAAAATTAGATCAGCCAAAACTGGTTTGGCTCAGTGGATAGAGCTTTGGCCTGAGGACTGAAAGATCCCAGGTTTGATTCCAGTCAAGGGCATGTACCTTGGTTGCGGGCACATCCCCAGTAGGGAGGGGGTGTGCAAGAGGCAACTGATCGATGATTCTTTCTCATCAATGTTTCTAACTGTCTATTCCCCTCCCTTCCTCCCTGTAAAAAATCAATAAAATATATATATTTTAAAAATAATAATTAGATCACTGAAGTTGGTCCATTTTGACAAATAGATCTTTTTTGGACTTTTTATAACTTCTGGAAGGTCTCCAACAATACTAAGACAGTGCTGACAATGCCAATGCCTTCTGTTTTAGCAGCATTTTATAATTTCCACAGTATTTTCTCACAACTTCATTCTCATTTGATCCTCTACACAGATCTTGGAGGTGCAAAGTGGGCATTATTACCTGCATTTAATAAATGATGAAAATGAGATTCAAACGATGTTACCTGCAGATGAGAAGTTTTAGCCTCAGAATGTGAAGTCTTTTCAGTGGATTATAAGTCCAGCATTGTTTTTCCACTTCCCCATGCTATGACTACATATATCTTTTTTCTCATAAAAACCGATATGGTTTTACTAACCACATTACTATTTATTAATGCATAATAGTAGGGCAGTAGTTGTGGTATGGAAATTAAGAGGCAGATCTAAAATAGTTCCATTTTACTACTCTACATTCGGTAATGTTATTAAAGTTCTCATCAGAACCAGTTTGAAAGGAAGCAGTTTAAAAGGGATAGTGATAGCCAGGTCTCAAATGATATTTCAAGTATTTCCCACTTTTGTACTCTAATACAGCAATTGCCAACCTTTCGGACCTCACAGACCAATCAGTGGTCCAGACCACTGGTTGGTGATCACTGCTCTAATAGACATGTGACCTTCTAAAGATGGATTGTTAACCATTTCAATAAGTATACTTGATGTAGCCCGTGCATTTCTGCATAAGCATAGACATTTATATCAATGCCATTTTGTGATGATTCAGAAAATGGTCTCAAAATGGTAGAGTTTACTGGATATGTTATTAATATTGTTACTTGTTGTTATGAGTGAGAGTGGGAACGAGAGCAAGAGTAAAGGTGGGGAGAGGAAGAAATCTCACAAACTCCTTAACTCTTGATCAATAATAAAAGAATATTGCATTTTGATCTTAATCTCAAAACCAAATTTGAAAGTTTCTTTACACTTCAACTTTACACTGAGACTCTGCTTGTGTTCTGTGTACTTCCTTGCTAATGAGTGTTGGGAATGCAGGCAGAAATAGATCAAGATGTTATGGCAGGAAACCTTATCTGTCTCTGCTCACCCCCACTGGAGGGCTGTGACCCAAGTCAGGCCAGTCAGAGGGTGTGGAGAAAGGGCTTCCTCCGTGCTCCCTGACTGGGGATGGGGAGCAAACCCTTGACCGAGAATCAAAACCAAGACTCTGGTGCAGAGTCCAATGCTCTAACCACTGAGAAACACCAGGGCAAAGATGAGCTATTTTTATTATTCTTTTAAAAAAATATTTTTGTCGGTTTCATAGAGGAACAGAATTAGAAACATCAATGATGAGAGAGAATCATCGGTCAGGTGCCTTCTTCACATCTCCTACTGGGGATCGAGCCTGAAAGCTGAGGGCATGTGCCATGACCGGGAATCTAACCGTGACTTCCAGGCTCATAGGTTGATGCTCAACCACTGAACCACAGTGGCCGGGCTATGTTCATTATTCTTAACCCAGGATTCCTAGAGTTCACAGAGGTGCTTTGGGGGACCTTGTTTCCCAATGATTAGGCGAAGTTTTGTGTGTATGTACATTTTTCCGGGGAGATTCTAACTAGGACCCTAGAGATTCTTCCAGTAGATGTCAGCCTTTCTCCTTTCCCAAAGCTATCGTATTGTTTTGGACTGTTCCCTGTATTTGGAGTTCTATTTAAACTCAGCAACAAGTCTATCTCTTAGAAGGATCAATGCAGCCAGGGCCACTGATTATACCAAAGAAAAAAAGGAAAAAAATTCGTGGGAGATGAATATCACTAATCATTGCCCTACATAACACAGTGCTTATCCTTTGCCTATAACTTTATGTTTCTAGACCACTTCCTCATCTCCCAAAAAGGACCAATAAAAAATAAACTGAACAACTTATTTACAAATATTTACAAGTCAAATCTGTGATGTGAGATATCAGGATTAAAGTTCTGACATACCTCATATGTAAACCTAAGTAAATAAATGTTTAATTTGCATAAAGTACACAGTGCCCTGGGCATTAGGATTCAATGAGATATCTAATTCTCAGAGTCAGTGCGCCTATGGATGGGGACAATGGGGGATGGGGGGGGGGACGGAGGGTGGGGTGGGAACCTGGTGGGGGGGGAAGAGATGAGGAACCTTTGTAGTAATGTGAACAATAAAGATTGATTTAAAAAATAAATAAATAAATAAATAAATAATTCTCAGAGTCAGATTACTTGTATTCAGAATCTAAGAGGACTTGCATTCATTCTAATTTATTCCTAATGCAGTTCTTGTTTAAATAAAACAATCTAACCAGAAGAAACAAGCAGTGTGACCTCTGGGATTAAGTGTGCGTGAGTGAAAGGCTCAGAGTCACCACACTTCTTATTTTTCAGTTCTGAAAATCTGGCCACTATCCTCTAGGAGTTCCTCATATCGGTGTCTCAGAAGTCTAGAAATGACCTCTCGGTAGCCTTCTTTCCTCAGGGATCGCCTAGGATGCCAGGGAATAGCTGCATGGCTCTTTCAGATGAAAATGAGAGACTCATGCAAAAAATTCAGCAAACAGGATTATAAAATGAGGGTGTTGAACAATGATCTCTAAAGTGCTTTTCAGGAAGCTAAATTGTGATTTTTTTTAAAAAATCACCTTTATGCCGAGACCGGTTTGGCTCAATGGGTAGAGCATCGGCTTGGGGACTGAAGGGTCCCGGGTTCGATTCCGGTCAAGGACATGTACCTTGGTTGCGGGCATATCCCCTGTAGGGGGTGTGCAAGAGGCAGCTGATCAATGACTCTCTCTCACCGATGTTTCTAACTCTCTATCTCTCTCCCTTCCTCTCTGTACAAAATCAATAAAATATATATTTTTTAAAAATCACCTTTATTATATAGAGATAACTAACAGAATAACAGTCTATCTATATCTATAAAGCCTAAGCGACTGTTAGGACTAGTTGACTGAATGACTAGTTGGTCGCTATGATGCACACTGACCACCAGAGGACAGACGCTGTATGCAGGAGCTGCCCCTGGTGGTCAGTGCGCTCCCAAAGCCAACATCCTGCGGCCAGCTGGCCAACCTCCTGAGGTCACTTCCCCCCAGCCAGCTGGCCCTGATCAGCCCCAATAGCTGGCCAGGCTGAAGGATCCTACCTGTGCATAATTCATGTACTGGGCCTCTAGTCAGTAGAGGCCCAGTACATGAATAAAGCTTAGTAATATCATCACAGGAAAACAAGGCTTATTATAAGAGTTTCATGGATAATACGATTCTACAGCTTTAAGAAGTCCAGTTCATTTCAAAGCCAGTAGAGTAGGAGGGATGGCATGCTTTTATTATTCTTATTCACCAGCAGGCCTATTCACCAAAAGGCCTGTTATGTGTGAATTGTAGCCGTCTCCAGTGAGTTCCCTTGTGGTACTGATGGAATGGCCTTAGAGCTGGTCAGGGGAAATCACTTGTAGTTATCTGGACCACAAGCTTTGACCCATGGGTATTGAACCATAAATTAAAGGAATATAGAAATATAGGACCAAGACCTTATTTCTCAGGAATACAATATCAAATCAGTGAAAATGTATTTGGTGCCTACCACTAAGTGCAAATTTTTACATTAGGGGCTGTATATTATATAAAAATACAAATGTTAAAATTGGTAAAATGGATCGTTGACTATGATCATTTATGTAAGATGAATGTGGGCTTCTAGGTTCTTTAAAGTGGCTTGCTAAGGTTTCAAACGAAGAGGCTTATATATAGGAGACAATGAGAGTCCCTTCGTGTGAAATAGGGCCTCATAGATGACATATATTGGATAGCTGGGGGTGGGAGCAGGTGATATTATGACTGGATATGAATGCCAGGTTACATGGAGTTGAAAACATGTAGCTTAGTAACTAAATATTTTTGGAGAGTATCCAGAACAAACTTATTTTTTATATATTTCAGGTAGTAAGGATTATTAGAGAAGAAGTCTTTGAGAGAAGGAAGAAGCCTTCATGCTTCGGGGTAAATGTTTGAGCAGGGGAAGGATATGATAAAATTGATATAGTTATAATCTTGGGCATGAATCATTTAGTAGACAGGAAGAGACAATGTCTAAGGTCAAGGTATATAAGAGTGAGATCATGTGAGTTGGACTAAGATGGAAGCAAAGTGCAAGTAATGAATGGAATAAATATTTTGAAAGAAGAAACTAGAGGGAAAAAAGTTAGCAGCATGGAGCTCATTTTGGAGGGAAGGTATAATTCATTTAGTTGATAGTTGGAATTGAAGAATCACTAGCTAATGGACAACAAGAGCTTTGCTTATGTGGGTCTATTGATATTTTACCATATTGGCTATAAAAACTGAGAAATTTTTAAAATGTTTATTTGGCTTAGGTCCGATCCCCCCCTGGCAGTCAGACATCCCTCTCCCAATCTGGGGCTCTCGGAGTCCAGGACTCCTCGCTCCTTACTGTCCGCCTGCAGCGGAGGTGGGAGAGGCTCCCACCACCAACTCTGCGCTCGCAAGCCATTAGTCCTGCTTCTGGCTGATGGGCGCTCCCCCTGTAGGAGCACACTGACCACCAGGGAGCAGCTCCTTAGGTGAGCATCTGCCCCCTGGTGGTCAGTGTGCATCATAGTGACTGCTCATTCTGCCATTCGGTCAATTTGCATATTAGGGTTTTATTATACAGGATTCTTCTGGGGTGATGACTGGGACCATTATCTTTGCTTCCCTTTTTTAGGTGACCTCGTGATTCTCGATGGCGCTCTCACTGCCGGCTGGCTGCAAGGCCGAAGCTGCTGGGGTGCCCGGGGCTTCTTCCCGTCCTCGTGCGTTCGGGAGCTCTGCCTGTCCTCGCAGAGCCGGCAGTGGCACAAGCAGAGTGCCCTGCTGCAGATTCCCGACTACTCCATGGGACAGGCCCGAGCGCTGATGGGGCTCTCTGCCCAGCTGGATGAGGAGCTGGACTTCAGAGAAGGGGATGTGATTACCATTATCGGAGTTCCTGAACCAGGCTGGTTTGAAGGGGAACTAGAGGGTCGAAGGGGCATTTTCCCCGAAGGTTTTGTAGAACTTTTGGGGCCCCTGAGGACCGTGGATGAGTCGGAGAGGTCTGGAAATCACGATGACTGCATGGAAAACGGTGAAGTAGATACCCCTACTGAAGAGGAGAGAGGGCTGGAAGAGGACGATGAGCAGCCAGGGACCTACGGCATCGCCCTCTACAGGTTCCAAGCCCTGGAGCCGAATGAGTTGGATTTCGAGGTAGGCGATAAGATCCGAATTCTGGGGACCCTGGAAGATGGCTGGCTGGAAGGATCACTGAAGGGCAGGACAGGCATCTTTCCTTACCGCTTTGTAAGTGTGTGTCCTAAAACAAAGGTGGAGGAAACTGTGGCCCCGCCACAGGAAAGCAGCCTTACCAGGGTCCCTGAACCGCCTTTGGATTGCTCAGAGAACTCCTTAGTCCTGGGGGGAAAAGGACACGCATCTCATGAGTATGAAGAAGAGACGTCCAGCTGTATTATTTCTGAAACATCTGCTTCTCCCCCAGATCATCTGGCCTCTGAATATGAGCCAAACAAAATCTCTCACTGGGACGAGGGCACCTCGAGGGGGCCGCCGAGAAGCCCAGGCCCAGGGCATGAACAGCCTCTGGCCAGAGACTCTGCCACAAAGGACTCTTCAGAGGTAGTCAACGGCGTCTCCTCCCAACCTCATGTGCCTTTTCACCCCCAACTGCAGAAAAACCAGTATTATTCTAGGGCAGGAGGGAGCCATCCAAGCTCAGGGCAGTTCTCTGACCCTTTTCCTCTAGAAGCAAGAACGAGAGACTATTCCAGCCTCCCTTCCAGAAAAACACACTCTCAGCCAAAGACTCTAGCGTCTCCTTTTCATGAAGGCTCCTCTCTCCCAGCCTCTAGGGTGGTCAGGCCTAGCCAGTGGAGCCCTCAACTCCAGAGCAAGGCAAGGTGTCCCCAAAAGTACCACACACCCCAAGGGAAAAACGCTTCCCGCTTTTGTGCAGAGACGAAGCCTGGTCTGCGAGACATGGCGCCCGCCGTGGAAACATTGGCCCTTCCCCAGGGAGACGGCCACGTTGACCTGGATTCGAAGTTGACGCAACAGCTGATAGAGTTTGAGAAGAGCTTGTCAGGGTCTGGCTCTGAACCCGATAAAATTTTGCGCCACTTTTCAATCATGGACTTCAGCTCCGAGAAGGATATTGTCCGAGGTTCCTCAAAGCTCACCACCCAGCAGGAGCTGCCTGCGAGGAGAAAGGCCCTGAGGCCACCGCCACCCCGGCCAGCATCCAGTCCTCCCCATTTGCCGGTGGACCAGAACCTGAAACCCGAGCCACCCTTGGCAGTGCGGCCCTCTCGCCCAGCTCCCCTGCCTCCCTCAGCACAGCAGAGAATGAATGCGGTAGCCCCCAAACTCCTAACCTGTAACCGTCCTGCCTATGAGGACCTAGGAAAGGAGGCCCCCGAGAATATGGAAAAGACTTTGGACCAGCCTTCCCAGTGCCCGTTAGTATTGGTGAGAATTCAGGAAATGGAACAGGACTTGGATATGTATAGCAGGGCTCACGAAGAGCTAAACTTAATGCTGGAGAAGCAAGAGGAATCCTTAAGGGCAGAGACCCTGGAGAATCTTGCATTCTACGAGAGCAACATTGAAAATTTGAATATGGAAATCCAGCAACTTAGAGGTAAGTGATGAAGAAATAACATATACTTATTTCTTGAGACCCATAAGTCCAAGTAGTTAGCCTACCCATATTTTTTAGGGATATGTTACCATCTTGGATTGACAAAGAATGACTTGGTTTTTCATTATCTAATTTCTTCTCGCACCACAATCGGACTGCTCTGTCTTGATGTAGCCTATGACCATTGTGGCCTCCTAACTTTATTTGCAGCTCAGTGACATTTATACCTCCTATACTGCTGTGACATCCATAGCAGTCATGTAGATGGGAAGTCCCTAAATGTAGCTTTCTGTAACCTGGCCCTACTAAAGGACTGGCGATATCTAGGCTAAGACTCTATCTAGACTGAGAAAACTGCATCTTGTATATTTGTGGACTAGATTTCAACAATAATAATAATAACATTTATTAGGTTGTTAATAAGCATTTGTTACCATTTACTTACACAAAGAATTTCAGCCACCCTGAAGGCACCGGGGATAATCCTTATGGCTACTTTATAGATGGTGAAACTAAAAGTTGTAGAGATTAAGTCACTAGCCCGGGAAGCAAGGATTTGAGCCCATGGTTTTAACTACTCCAGCTTACTGCTTCCCACCTTGCACATTCAGAAGTTTAAATGCTGTTCCTTCATTTGGGGGTGACCAACCCTTGGAGATTTCATTCATGTTCGCCAGGCCACCAGGGGAAATAATTTGTAAAGTAGGAAGAGTAAGAGGGTGAGACACCTGCATTTGTTCTAAGACCCAAGGAGAGCCTGACCTCAGGGCACTTTGGCATGTGCCCGAGGGCTCTGCACCTGCTTGTCAACAGCAAAGTGAATAATAAAAGTATCGATATTCTGTGGGTCTAGAAATTGCAGGAGAATGGTGACCCAGAGAGACTGGGCCAAGATGGCAAACCAAGTACACATGCCTACTCCCTTGTTCTTTAGATTTCTGAAAGTGAATGAAAAAACATAATTAAAAATCCCAAGAAGAGTATTATCAGAAGGCTGGAAATCAAGTGATTTTCTGAAAGGATTCTTGGATAAGAATTTTTATTTATTTTTTAAATATATTTTATTGTTTTTGTTTTGTTTTGTTTTGTGTTTTTTTTTGTTTGTTTGTTTGTTTTACAGAGGGGAAGGGAGAGGGATAGAGAGCTAGAAACATCGATGAGAGAGAAACATCCACCAGCTGCCTCTTGTACACCCCCTACTGGGGATGTGCCCGCAACCAATGTACATGCCGTTGACCCAAATCTAACCTGGGACCTTTCAGGTCACAGACTGGTGCTCTATCCACTGAGCCAAACCCAGTTTCGGTGGGTAAGAATTTTGAAAAAAGAAAAAAGAAAGAGAACACTTCTACATGTCATTAAAATATATAATCTTGTCACATTATTTTGGTTCATAATAATAAACTGCATTTATTTTATATATATTTCTCATCTATGTACAGATATAAAAATATCCAAAACCTTAGTACAATCCTAAACTAACACAGGAAAATTATTCACTGTTGATTTTTAAAAAAATATATATTTTATGATATTTTACAGAGAGGAAGGGAGAGAGATAGAGAGCTAGGAACGTGGATGAGAGAGAAGCATTGACCAGCTGCCTCTTGCACACCCCCTACTGGGGATATGCCCGCAACCAAGGTACATGCCCTTGACCAGAATCGAATCCGGGACCTTTCAGTCCCCAAGCCGATGCTCTATCCATTGAGCCAAACCGGTTTCGGCTCACTGTTGATTATTAAGGTTACTACTATTATCATTTAAGAACATGTAAATAAAGAGTTTTAAAAATATAGGATAACTTATCATTTTAAGAATTACCAGGAATTCCAATTTTTGTTCCTGAACCCCAAAGATTACTATTCTTGCAGAATTTATTTTGTTTTGTTAAAAAATATTTTTATTGATTTTAGAGAGCAAGGGAGAGGGAGAGAGAGAGATGGAAACATCAGTGATGCAGAGAATCATTGATTAGCTGCCTCCTGCACGTCCCCTTCTGGGGATTGAACCTGCAACCCAGGCATGTGCCCTGACTGGAATAAAACTGGTGACCCTTCAGTCTGCAGGCTGATGCTCTGTCCACTAAGCCAGACCGGCTAGGGCTATGCTTGCAGAGTTTAGAAACTGCTGACCAACAACTGAAAGAAACAAGTGCCAATTCTCTCTCTGGAATGAGGTGCCTTCCTCTCAGGTCTTAAAGTTTTCCAAACACTTACATTTAGACTAGCACACAGTAAAAGACAGTCAGACACACAGGGAGTGTAGACCATACTAAATGAGAACCAGGTGGCATCACAAACAGTCCCACTAAGACTTAATATCACACAGACTATATATTACCTATGTAAAGAAAAGAAAAAAACTGCCCTAGCTGGTTTGACTCAATGGATAGAGCATCGGACTGTGTACTGAAAGGTCCCCAGTTCCATTCTTGTCAAGGGCACATGTCTTGGTTGCAGGCTTGATCCCCAGTAGGGGGCATGCAGGAGGCAGCCAGTCAATGATTCTCTCTCATTATTGATGTTTCCATCTCTCTCTTCCTCTCCCTTCCTCTTTGAAGTAAATAAAAATATATATTAAAAAGAAAAGAAAATAAACAAGCTGAAAGGTATCTGCAGCAAACAGGAAACTATAAAAGATAACATATCAGATTTGAAAATATAAAATAAAACTTGTAGGAAATGAATCCTCATGACTTCATAATTATTCCATAGTCTTTAGAAGGAGCAATATGAATAAAAGTGTAAGTGCTATATAGATTTAGGTGTGAACTATTACAAAAATTTGTATATCACGCCATACTTAAGTTAATTCATTCAATGTATTTATTCCCTGTTGGTCTAAACTAGATTCATACTTGTACTTAAGTCTTTAAATTAGAAGTGCTTCTTAATAATATTTTCTTCTAATTCTCAAACTTCTATTTAATGCCTACCATGTGATAAGCATAGTAAGGCATTTGCCCATACATTTTCTTATTTGAAGGAGGTGGAGGAGACAGAGAAGCAGAAATAGCTATAATAAAGAGCTTCATTTTGAGTCTGGCACAATACCGGACTATTTTGCTACCCAGTAACTTTGTCTCAGTGACATTTCTGCTCTGACAGTGCCCAGCCCCTTGGCAGTCCAAGTTCAATGTTAACAATAAAGGTAGGAAATCTTTTAAAGCTCTGGAGGTAGAACAAGCAACTTCAATTCAATTTTATCCAGTTAAACTAAATTCAATTCATCAAGTATTTACTGAGTCTACTGCCTGCAGAACACTATGCCGAGTGTGAGAAATGACACACTGACTAATACAGAGTATCTGTCTTCTCAGTAGAATTAACATTTTCACTGAAAGGCACAAAAGCATTAAAAATAATACCAACCAGAATTAAGTAAATATTGTACCAAAAATTCTTTAAATCTTAGGCCTTAAATGTCATGATTAGAGATAGTAGGAGACTGGATTCAGGGAATAAAGCCTGATGTTTAAACTGATTAATTTCCTCCTCTTTCAAGGGACTAATTTTATTGTTGGATACGGTTTTTATGAAAATAAAAAAAAGATGACCTTAAGAGGCTCTGTCATGATTGCAAGAAATAAGTAATTTCATTATATTAGCAATTGATATAAAAAAAGAAAATCAAGTCAACATTACTACACTGAATGCAGTATTTAGTGGATTCAAATAAAGAAAATTCTTTCTGATTAAGACTCCACCCACCTACTGTAGATCTTTTACAGTATTAATCTTTTAGAATGAAAAAACACATAGTAAGTACACTGACCGAATATTTAATTAGTCCTGAAAAGAAGATCAGTTGAATAAAGAAGAATACCAATTTCATCACTTAGTACCAGTCCATTAATTCACAAATCCATTGAAAAACACTGCATGGTATTTTTAGGGATAGAAGACATAACATTTCTTTCTTTCTTTCTTTCTTTCTTTCCTTTCTTTCTTTCTTTCTTTCTTTCTTTCTTTCTTTCTTTCTTTCTTTCTTTCTTTCTTTCTTTCTTTCTTTCTTCCTTTCTTCCTTTCTTCCTTTCTTCCTTTCTTCCTTTCTTTCTTTCTTTCTTTCTTTCTTTCTTTCTTTCTTTCTTTCTTTCTTTCTTTCTTTCTTTCTTTTTTTAAAATATATTTTATTGATTTTTTACAGAGAGGAAGGGAGAGAGATAGAGAGTTAGAAACATCAATGAGAGAGAGTCATCGATCAGCTGCCTCTTGCACGCCCCTCCACTGGGGATGTGCTCGCAACCAAGGTACATGCCCTTGACTGGAATCGAACCTGGGACCTTTCAGTCCGCAGGCTGACGCTCTATCCACTGAGCCAAACCGGTTTCAGCAGACATAACATTTCTGTGAAATACTATTAATTCTCAAAAATATCGTTATTGAGAAATTCTTGCTGGCTGGAATGTGGGAGACTTTTGTTCTGCCACCTGTATGTTTAATGCAGGACTAGTTTAGAAGTATATCTCAAAACTTGCAGTTATGGAAGACAGTGGAGAATCCTAGGGCTTGCCATGGCTTTGGGGATGTAGTGATGTGTCAGACCTGTCAATGTAAGGCCTTATTTTGCTTCTAAAACTTTATATTCTTCGACCATCGCTTATAAAATATACTTGTGTAAAATATACTCTGCCCATAACCTTGTTAATATTTACCTTATTCACAAGAATGACTCACTGTTAGCACACACACGTAACATAGCAACAGCTACAAGCAAAACAATCTGGTTAGATTTTGATTATTTTCTCTCCTAAGTACTCTTGTCCCGGTGAGCCTTAATCTTTTACTCTGTATTGCTATTTTTTGCTCTTTCAACTTAACATCTGTGGATTCCTTCAAACTAGAAACATCTCTACACTAATTGTTAAGCTTTATTCTCACAGGAGTAATAGCATATTTACTCTGAGTTTCCAGAATTCTCAGTTAGTCTTTTTGAATCCTAAGAAGAATCAATTTCCTGAGAAGGAATTCCCACATGGAAACACTAGTCACTCTCAG